AAAGTGCTCATGAGGAACTAAGTTCAGAACAAGTACAAATCTACTGTACAAGAAGTTGTGCTGATTCAGTTGAATCCCAATTACACTCTTTATTACGTTACCAAATGGGAAAGAAAACATTGTTTTTCTATGTCACCTTGCGTCAAAGGCTTCAGAAAATATTCAGAAGATCTGCACCCCATTCAAGATCATTAATAAAAAAAGAGATATGTCAGCAAGGCTTAACAGCAGCAGTTGTAAAGTTTCTGCTAGCATCCGCAAACTGGATCCCCACAAAGCATGCGGACTTGATGGTATCCATGCAAAAGGTGTATCTGGACTAACTTCTTTATCTCTAAACTATACAATAAGAGCTTTGCTGTTTCTTGCTTTCCTGTTTGTTGGGAATCATTTTCTGTATTTCCAGTTCAGGCGAGCCAGCTGATTCTTCTAATTATCGATGTGGACCATGTTTGCCGTAGTTACTGAATATGGAATCTAGTGAAGTCCGAAATGTTTTTAATATCAGAGGTTGGCAGTGAAGATTCAGAGAAAGTAGCAGCTGTTAAGTAATTCTTTAAGACTTCGATATCAGGTTGGCAGTGAAGATATTTTTTGGAGAAAAAACAAAATGGCTGCCTTTATACACGTCGGATTGAATATTTTGAGCTTTCTGATTGGTTAACCCTTCTCTTGGTGGACTATAAAATGAGTCAGCTCATTTTAGTTAGCTCACGAGTACAAACATGTATCCAAAAAAACTAACAATCGACCCATTAACCTTCTACCTCTTTTTGGCAAATTACTAGAGGATTTAATTAACTCTGAATCGGTTAAACATCCCACATCGCAGGGTCTTCTTTCAGATAAACAATATGGCTTTAGCCTCTCTAGGTTAACTGCTGACTTGTTAACGATGATTGCTGAAAGACTTTATCAAACTTTAGATAAGAATGGTCAATCTTGTGCTGTTGCTTTGGACACATCTCGAAGACATTTGACATATTTGGTATATCGGTCTTCTTCACAAGCTGAAAGGTTATGGTATTTTTGGACGAATTTTTTAAGTTCTTTTTTATCAAATCGCGAAATGAAAGTTGTCTTGAATGGCCACTCTTCTAGATCTTTTTGAATAAATGTAGGTGTTACCCAGGACTGTATCCTTGGACCTACATTATTTCTAATATTAATAAATGACCTTCTTGATGTCATCCCTTCTCAACTCGGTATCTACACTAATGACACAACTATTTATTTATGCGGACTTAATGGTATCCTTTGCAAAAGGTGTTTCTGAACTGACTCCTGTTCTCTCTAAACTCTACAATAAATGCTTTGCTGCTTCTTGCTTTCCTGATTGTTGGAAATCCTCTTCTGTAGTTTTAGCCTTTCTAATTATTGGTCTATTAGACTTCTATCTCGGTTTAGCCATGTACTAGAGGCTCTAATCAACTCTGAATTGGTTAAGCATCACACCGCGCGGGATCCTCTTTCAGACAAGCAATATGGTTTTCGCTTCTCACGGTCAACTGCTGATATATTAAAAGTATATTGCTGAAAAATTCTGTTATGGTTTATAAAGTGTGTTCCAATAACTTGGACCGATTTTACATGTGAACTAAGTTTAAACGTCTAATGATTTTTTCTTTTTCAGATTTAACAACTTAAGTTTTTGGCAATTTCAACCATGGAAAGATTAAAAATCAAACAACGTGTTAAAGTTATCGAAGCCTATTACGAAAATGGACGTTCAAACAGAAATGCATTTCGCGCACTTCACGATTTTTGGGGTCAACATAATCGACCAATCGAGAGTGCAATTGGAAACGATGTAACGTTGTTGGGGAGAGGTTTAATTCCTGCACGCGATGACGAATAGAGGTGCTTGGATTTTCGGCCACATTCTCGTGCACTGCAGCAATGTTTTCAGCTGAATGGCGTAAAGGAGCACGCAATGGGGTCTTCACATCAGCCACCGACTCAGTTTGTTTGAATTTATGAACAATTTTTCCAATTGCTCTTTTGAAACTTTAACACGTTGTATGATTATTAATCTTTCCACGGTTGAAATTGCCAAAGACTTAAGTTGTTAAATCTGAAAGAAAAAGAAAAAAAATCATTAGACGCTTAAACTTAATTCACATTTAAAATCGGTCCAAGTTATTGGAACACTCATTATAAGGTTGCTTTGAATATCTCGAAGGCGATTGACAGGGATTGGCATGCTGGTCTTCTTCAGAAGTTGAAAGGTTATGGTATTTCTAAACAATTTTTTATCTGATTCAATCTTTCTTATCACATTACGAAATTAAATGGCCACTCCTCTAGATATGTTTTGCATTAATGTGGGTGCCCCCAGGGCTCTATCCTTGGACCGACATGATTTTTAATTTTCAGTAACGACCTTCCTTATGTCCTCAGTTCTCAACTCGATACCTGTGCTGATGGCGCATCTGTTTACCTCTGTCTTAATGCTAAGTTTGATCATATCGATATGGTCAACTTTGCATCTTATTAAAAAAAAAGAAGCCCTACAATCTGTTGTTAACTGGGGTAGGAAATAGCTTGTTAATTTGAACGCCTCCAAAAGGAAATTGTTGTCTTTTACTCGTCTTAGAGACTCCTTTTTCCCTTCCATCAGCATGGCTGATGCTAACCTCCAGGTAAATCACTCATCGTGCCTTCTCGGGCTAACGTTTTCTGCTGATAAGAAGCAGAGTGATTATATTGAATCAATTGCTAGTTCTGTTTCCTGTGCCGTGATAAACAGTTATCTCTTCAGAATCTATCATATATTTATAAGTCTACCATTCGTCCTTGCTTTGAATATAGCTGCCAGATCTGGTATGGTGCTTCTTATATGTATTTAGAGATTCTTGATAAAATTTGAGGAAGAATCTGCAATGTTATCGGTCCTGAGCTGGCATTTCGGCATCAGTCATTTCTCATTGCCATAACGTAGATTCCCCGTGTCTTTTCTATAAATATTTTCATGCTAGTTATTCTGATGAGCTTTCCTCTTTGCTACGTCGACTTTACGAATCGAAGTGCAGTCCAAGATTGGCGGCAAGACCTCATCATTTTACAGTTGAAATGGCTACATGTAACTGTAATTTCTATGCTAACAGTTTCTTTCCTCGCACTTCTCGCTTGTGGAACTTTCTCCCAGCTTCTTGCTTTCCAGTCAAATTTGATCTTCAAAAATTTTAAATACAATGTCAATCGTTATCTTCTGCCTTCTTAATTTTTGTTCTTTTATTGTCTACTTTCTTCTCTTGTTTTCATATTCTTTTACAATCAGTAATACTTTGCGTTTTAGTGGCTTTATTGCCTTTCTTGGGGTGAAATGAAAAAAAAAGAAGAGAAGATCAACAGAACAAGAATAATCTACTTAAGTAGATTAAAAAAATCACGCTCGGCAATTATTGACAGGTAATAATGAAAAGGAATCTGTGGAGAGCCATGATCGCGTGCGTCCCGAAGGGACATGGCATTAAAAAAATGTATACTTTGTCTGTTCTGTTCACTTTTACCTAAATGTTCCCGGGAAAGGTAACGGTAATGGTTAATATTAACCGTTTCCTTATCAGGAAACACTTGGCATTTATTAACCAAGCAGCCAGTGCTACTCAAATTACGCTTTTCTCAACTCCCTGGACATAATGTTTGGATCAAAGTATAGTATCTGTTCTAACCTGTAATGTTAAAGGTAATATTAACCGTTTCCTTATAAGGAAACATTCGGCATTTATTAACCGAGCAGACAGTGCTACTCAAATTACGCTTTTCTCAACTCCCTGTACATCGTGCTTGGATCAAAGTGTAGAAACTGTTCTCCTAACATGTAATGTTAAAGGTAATATTAACCGTTTCCTTATAAGGAAACATTTGGCATTTATAAACCGAGCAGCCAGTGCGACTCAAATTACGTTTTTCTCAACTCCCTGGACATCGTACTTGGATCAAAGTGTAGTATCCGTTCTCCTAATCCCCAATGTTTCCTTATAAGGAAACATACTACTATCGGTTGTAATTTATAGAATTTTTGTAGTGAAATAATTTTTCAGGAAAGTATGTTTCTCAAATCCAGTAACTGTTATCGATCTTTCCAGTATTGATGGAGGTTTCCTTCCTAACCTTTTGTTTGAAGTAGTGTGGAATGTCAACATCTTGATTATGTCATTATTTTCTTTTTGTGATATATGCTATCCATATTTGTTGCTGAAAATGAAATCTTTTTTTTTTTTTTTTTTGTATATTCGAATATGATATGTGTGTCAAAGTTTCCAGCGTATATTATCATTATTGTTGTAAAAAATCCAGTCGTCTAATGTGCATTCAGTTTCTAGTTATCAAAAGAGAAGACGCTGGGAACTCTTGCATAGTTAAAGATAGACGCTCCTCATGTAATCTGGTGACAAAAAAACAAAAAAAAAAAAAAATAAATAAACAAAAAAACAACAAAAAAAAAACAAAAAAAAAACGGAAACAGCCTTTCGAGCAACCCAAACATTTTTCATAAAAAAAAGTAATTTTTGTTTGTCTTTTCCATCTTATTGACAGTTTTTCCCTCGACTCAAGGCCCCGGATGAAGGCAGTCCTGTGGACCCGTTCCCCGTTAAGATTTTCGACGTTCCCTCTGCGAGAGGAAAAATCGACACAATTCAAGACGTCACCGAAGCTGGTAAGCATAGCAGTCGTCCCAAAGCTGATTCCATCGGAGATGAAGACAGAATCTTAAAACCAGGCAAAGATGCTAGTAGCATAACTGTCATTCACTTCAACGATGGCAGTAATAGACTTGAGCAAGGTTCTTTAAGAGAAAAAAATAGCCTTCCTTGTGATTTCGCTTCTGATTTGCTAGAGAAGAGCAAGAAGAAGAAACACTATGTCCCTTTTGGAGTTGAAAAGTCGATTAAAAATTTCAAGAAATTTACAGTGAAACTAGTTCGAAGATGTTCTGATTTTTTGCAAAGAGACTTCGGCAAGAAAAACGAAGAGGCTTTGGCAGACAGCAGTTGTTATGATAGGCCGTGGATGGAAGTTGACCAGGCTGGATTCTCAGGTGTAGACCGTTGTGATAGCAGCAATTCCATGGCTGTAGATGGAGGTTTTTTTCCTGTTCTTAACGACATGGATGGCGCGACCGACACTGACAGTCGTTGTTCTGGTGATAACGAGGACGCTAGTTTAGCCGAGAGTCTCGGGAACGATTCGGACGCCACTGAATTGGACGATTTCGATTTCACAGATGAGGAGGAAGATGTCTGCTTCGACACGACTACCCCGTGGATATCAACCGGAAATATTACCGAATTAGAAACCGAAGCCGCAGACAGAAACGAAACAGAATGTAATTGTGAAAATGATTATTGCGAAAATGCAACTGAAAGTCAGGTAGAGTTCTATTGTCACACAAAGGATGAGGTAAACAAAGATGGCGCCGATCAGCAAGATATTAGCACGCTTAACATGAGCGAAGCAGACGACAATGAAGCTGATGAAATAAGACTGGAATTTCTGACTGAACTTGAAGAGAAATACACTCAACTAAGTCAGCTTGTGTTCTTGACAGAGGATTCAGAAATCCAGAAACAATTGATAGAAGTCGTTCGATGGATTTTGCAAACACATCAACGGCTTCAATATTGAACACTGGCTTTTATAGACTTACTATATGAAAAAGTCTAGGTAAACGTCAATCAATATGATCTGTCGTTAGTAAAGTTGATGGTTTCATCTGGTGTCTGTGTCCAGGCAACTTTTTGATCTGAGAAGGCTGAAATATGCATAGGCTGAAATACTGTGATGAAAGCAACAATGATAAAGATGTTCGTCTGAATAATGTGCAGAGTGACATCTAAAGACTACTGGGTGCAGCATACGTCTGAGGAAGGCTGAATAATATATCGGCTGAAATTCTGCGATAAAAAAAACACACCAATGAATAATATGTAGACTGAGATCTAAGTACTCCTGTATACACCATCCATATTCCGGAAGCCGTAGAAACGATGGTAATAAAAATAATAACTATGAAAAATCATTTCTCGAAAAATAGTTAGAATGATGAAAATACTTAATCCAAAAATATTCTTAAAATATTGATTTTAAAAAGAAATCAGCAACGTGATGCAGTTCAATAACATATTTCGATGAGTGAGAAACATTTGTAAATTCCAAACCTTGAATTTAGAGCAGGGAAAGAAAACAAAAATAAACACGATCTCAGAATATATATCTATATATATATATCAGAAAATGTTGCAGTAAAATGCATACTATATCCGGTTCACATGCTGCTGAAATTACGCGAATGATATATATATATATATATATATATATATATATATATATATATATATATATATATATATATATATATATTGTGTATTTAGCCAGCAATTCTTCATTCATACATCTCTCATTAATGACGAGAGATAAGGTACTACGATTAAGCTTTTTATTTAATTTTTCTTGTGTTCGAACAAGTGTTTTCTTTTTTGGATACAGAGTGTGTAGAAACTGTCCAAATGTTCTGTAATCCCGAGCGCTTTCGGACATACTTTTAGCCATTATCAAGGATGATTTTATTTTTGCTTTTGTAACTGGATGTATGGGTTGTTTTTTAGTGTTTTTAGTGTTATAGAGATGTTTTATTTTCCGAACAGCACATTATGGCCGTGTTCGTAGTTAATATAATTAAGTGTTGGCTTTTACTTTTTTTATTATTAAGGCTATATTCGTTTATAATGTTTTTTCTTTCTTTTTTATTATAAAATTTTTTCCTTTACCTTTTTCTTTCTTTTTTCCTCTCCCTTTTCTAAAAAAAACGTTCGGTCTGAAAAGATGAATATTTAAATAAATCCATGAAATAAATTAGAACCGAAATGGATTTTTAAAGATTGTCTTTACTTTTACAAACTTTGTGGGCGGGTTCCTGACACCCAGACAACGTAAAATGTCCATATCAACATATCTCCAAAAGGCCATCGTTATACCTCAACACACGCATGCACCCGTCGGATCACTGACTGGCGGACCTTTTCAAATATTCCCACATGGTGTCGTATGATTTCGCAGAACCCCATGACACCTTGATGAAGCGTCTCTGCATTATTAATATCTGCTGCATAAACCAGTTGTTTTACACGGCCCCATAGATAAAAGGAAACGTTCAGATCATGGGACCAATCGTCTCCTACCTATCCATCTTTCATGTTAGATGTCAGCCAGTGCATTTCGAACGATATGACTAAACTTTAACTGAAGAGGTTATTTTATTTAAAAACCTTGGAGTAATATTGTTTGGGGTGGGGTATATTTAACCTCTCTTTTTGATATCACGTGTATACTTTTTTTTTTTTTTGGGGGGGGTCGTCCAAAATATTTACAGTTATAAAAAAAAGAAGTCCTTGGAGATTTTTAAAAATTCATACAATATCTACTGTGACTTACAGAAAATTCAGTCCGCATCTTGCCAAAACCAATTCAATAAAACTCCAAAAATAAACTTTTTGAGAATCGATGCTTGCCTAATTTAATAAAAGACATTATTTTTTTTTCAGATTTAACCAAAAAAAAAAAAAAAAAAAAATGCCGACTTTTTTACTATTTTAAAAAAAAAAAAATATTTGTAATTTCTCAGTGCAATTTCGAAATTCATCCCGTTGCTGTTCGTCACAAGAGTTTATTTTATTAAATAAAGAAATGTTTGAAGATTTCAAAATATAAAGTTTAACGTCATTTTCGAGTGTGAAACTTTTTATTTTAAGTGTTTTATTTTATTTTTCCTTTCAGCAACTGTTTTGGTATGGATGTACAAAAAGGAAATAATTCTGATATCTCGTGTTAACTGATTACTATTCAATATCGGAGGAATATTATGATATTAAGCTAATTTCAAATATAGCGTTTAAGCAGTATAAAAGTACAATTATTCATTATAATAAATTTAATAAAAGCGTATAAAATAAAACATTATATTCTTATACACTATTGGTTATATAACGTCAAAGAAAATTTAGTTTTAAACATAAATAACAAATTCTTGATTATTTGACTGCTAGTCTTTGGTAATTCTTTAGGTTTTATTTTTACTTTTTCGCGCGCTTTTTCGGACAGGGCTAGAATTAGTGTGTTTCTACCATGACCTTTGATCTCAGACTACTGCGTGTAAAAAAAAAATGTTATTTTCATTCTATTGTAAGTAAAAGGTAAACATTATTTTAGTAAATCCAGTTAATTAAACCTTAAATTTTCTAATAAGCTTCGAAACACATCTCTAGGACAAATATTGAATTTTAAAGAGAATTTTAAATTTCTTGTTTACATTTTTCGTATAGAATGGCAGCTAAAAGAGTCAATGACTGACGACAAAAAGTACTAATGCGGAAAAATTTATTTATATACAGAAATTAATTTTTTGTTCAACTTGGATTAGTTTTAGGCTATTAGCTTTCAAAAGGGACCGAAATTTAAAATATGTTTTTATTTTTTATTTTTTTTTTACTTTATTTATTTTTTTAGAAAGGTCACGGCAGTACCTGACATCGTCCTATCATTGTTCCAGTACTAATACCTAGCTTTAATTTAAAAAATCTCTTTACTGCACACACTGTAAGAAAAAAAGTTTACTTTTTTTAGAATGAAATTGCATTAAAAGCCTCTCCATTCAAGTAATAATAGCTCCGGAGTGACAATTTTGTACCAATTTTAGTATTTAACATATTATCATTTCCAAAAGGTCATTAAAAAACTCAAATAAACACAAAAATAAACAGATTCGTTTGCTTAGGGAGATACATATTTATTGAAATAACATAAAGTATGGATGTCTCCTTTTTGTGCACGTAGTTTCATTTTTTTTCTTAATTTTTCCAACATAATAATTATATTTTCCAACATAATAATTATATTTTATTTTATATACTTTTTAAAAAAATTTTTTCTCAAATTTATTTCAAAATACCAGCATGTATTTATTTATTTATTTATTTACCATGAAGTCAAATGACACGACTTTTCAGCAATACATATTGTTTTACAATGACACACCCACATAGCCTCTTCCTCTATGAAGTATTTGCCAAACATCCGAGAAAATGTTCTAATATAGTGTAGCGATTTGTATTAATCTATATCGTGTTATATATATTTATGAATGTTTAAGTAAGAGAAATATGAATGTTGATGTCTATGGTGTGTGTATGTCACTACGAAATGTATCTTTATTGTATTAGACATGCGACAACATTCACATTTCTCTTACTTAAACCCCTTCCACTCAACTCTCCTAAAATTCTCTCTGTTAAGGTTTAATCTCCCCCTCTTCTCTAGTCTGTTACCCCTCATACTTACACTCTCTCTAAATTCTGTTTTTATTTCCGGAGTTGTTTTTTTCTGTTTTCTTTTTGAATTTGTAGGTCTGATGAATTGGATTGTATTTACGATTCCAATGGAATAAATTATGACCATGGAATATTAGTGTTTAAGCTTTTTTTTTATATATATATATATATATATATATATATATATATATATATATATATTAATGATTATTCATAATATCCAAAACCGATAGCGCAGCTAGACGTTGGATATTATGTATATTCACTAATATATAAATTATAGCTCTGTTTCACAACATTGAGCACTGTATTTATAACACCTGAGGAAGAAATATATTTATACGTACGTGCAAGTATATGTGAGCATATGTATATTTTTTATCCTACCCATTCTTATATATATATATATATATAGATATAGATAGATAGATAGATAGATAGAGAGAGAGAGAGAGAGAGAGAGAAGAAACGGAAAAGGTGAAAAGGGATAAAGAAAAACATAGAGGCATAATGTGTGTGAGAGAGAGAGAGAGAGAGAGAGAGAGAGAGAGAGAGCAAAAGTTACGCCCGCCTTTACAGTAATTTAAGAACTTTTTTGTTAGTATTGTCACATCAAAACAATATGATTTGTTATGATTAACAAGCCATTTACCATATTCAAAATGCCCCCTTCTTGTTGAATACAGCGTTGATCCATATCAGCAACACTCCTACAAACCATTTGACACATTTCTACAAAATCTAAAATCTATTCGAAATTGCTTTTCGGTTTGAGCCTGCAAACAGGATCTTTCAGTACACCTCACAAGAAAAAAGTCTGATGGTGTTTAAACAATATTCTAACGGTCTGAATATTTAAGAAAATGCGCCCTTTCCCAACGGAGGAAAGGTCCACTTCAGTTCAGTTAATGTCATTTATCTGAAAACCATTAAATCGACTATGTACCTCTTTCAATGGTTTACGTTGCCGAAGAAGCTAACCATAGAACCATAAAACATTAAAGGGAGATAACTGTTATATCTGAAAGGTGCATTTCCCAAATGATATATCATTAATTTCAATGTTGCTTACGATAATGAATGAAATCAGTTGGTTGTTTAGAGGATTGTTTAATATTGAAATCAGTTAATGCCAGGCAGTTGATTGCTATTTTTTGGCCAAGGAAATAACATTAAAGCGAAACTACCTTTATTAAATTTTTCAAGAGTAATTTCCCATAAAGTTTTATTTTTTTTATTATTTTTTTTATCATTGAAAAAGGCTGGAAAAAAGAAAGAAAGAAAAGAAAATGTCCAAAGTCCGAAGCAGTAACTACCTGGTCGGGTTTTTGGCCATTCAGAGGTGAAAAAAGTTTAGTGTCCAAAGTCCGAAGCAGTAACTACCTGGTCGGGTTTTTGGCCATTCAGAGGTCAAAAAAGTTTAGTGTCCAAAGTCCGAAGCAGTAACTACATGGCCGGGTTTCAGAGGTGAAAAATTCTAGTGTTCATAGCCCGAAGCAGTCATTTCACAGATCGGGGTTTTGACCAGTTAGAGATGAAAAAATTTACTGGGCAGAGTCCGAAGCAGTAACTACCTGGTCGGTATTTTGGCCATTCAGAAATGAAAAATGTCCATGCCGAATACAGTGAACAGTTTCTGGATGACTACGATTCGTGTGAATTTATTCAACACCTCAAAGAGCCTTGTGCTGTATTCCTTCTCGTATGACAACAAATCATTTAAAATCGATAAAGGGGAGACAACATGTTTATCAAACATGTTTCTCGACCTAATTCGCTATAGTAAAATGTGTAACTTTATAAAATACCAAGGTGAATTACCGAGGAAGACGGAAGAATGCTTACGACCATTGTTAGTGCGAGGCCCCAATAAGAGAAGGAATGAATTTGGTCGATCGGTACCCTGTGATCGCTGCCCATTGGAAGTAGGGTCTCTCCAAATTTGGAGGTGTATCTAGAGAAAAGTTCTCAACCGGGGTCCACATGGGCCCTAAGGGGGTCCATGTAATATTTCTGGGGGTTCACAGATAAAATAAAACAAATTGGGGGTCAACATTGATATTTTGGTGGTCCATGAAGAAAGCCAAACCAGAATGGTTTTTATTCTTAGAATAAAGCACAGCTCTACGTTATTGCTTTTCCAACATGTTATCTTGTTGAATCGGGATTTAGTCGTGTTTTTCAACTGTTATCAAAAGTTCGCAATAGAGTTGACATTGTGAAAAGGGGATCTTCAACTATCATTAACATCAATGGAACCAGATATAAAGAAACTCGCCGAGCAACATCAATCACAGGGATCTCATTGAATAAATAGGCGTTTCTTTTATTTTTCTAATCATACACTTAAATTGGTTTATTAAATAAATAAATGCCGCAGTGAATTCAATTGTCTAAAGAACTCTGCTCCTTTGCATGGGCTTAACCATGGAAGAAACGTCACCCAATTAGGTACTAACCAGGCTGCACGTTGCTTAACTTCGGTGATCGTACTGTTTGTTTGTTGATAAGGATAGATGTTTGTTTACGGCTGTGTGAATAACATGACCACACAATTTATATTAAACGTAAAATACCACAAAGCATGAAATACAGGAAGGAACAAAATGGTTTTAAAAACATAACATTTGTATTTATTTGTGTGTTAATGTACATGCGTAGAAGTTAAAGATTTGATGGAGTTATGTCTCTTAAACCTGGAATATTTTTATCTGAACTTACAAATAATGATTAATTATAAAGCTGAGAAAGGCTGAATAAGCTGTAGTTTTAGAAGAATATTTCAAAGAGAAAAGTTCTTGTTGCATGTTTTGAAATGTTCTGTATGTTTGTAATGTAGGTTGGAAAAGTTCGTACGTACGTGCATACGTGAATCTGCTTTTAACATCTGACCACCCATGGTCGAGACGAGAATCCTGAAGATCACATCTTCGCAGGAATTTGGAAGAGTAAAAGAGAATGAGCGAACTCGTGTCTGCTATTTATAGATAACGTAATCACGTGACAGGATCACAGCAAATGGCGGGAAACTTGACTTGGTCACGCGCTGGAAAAAATATTTGTATGTGAGTGGATTGCAACGCCCACTTGTGTGTTTACTGACCAATTAGAAGCTGATATTTCCTGAAAATATTTACTAAGCCGAGTGGGCTCTCTGATCCACTTTTTGCGCAAAAATGTACAAAATTAGACATCGATAAGGAAGTGGTAGTGGGATGCTACACCAGCGAGAAATATAACTTGAAAAACGTTCTGAAGTTACAAGTTCAAACACATTTTCAGATTTCCAGAATTTTCTTCACACAAACTTTCAGCTTTGCAACTATTTGACAGACAAAACTATTTTTCTGTGAGCTCAGATAAAAATATTTCCTTCTTAATAAACTTTAAGAAATATAGCTTAAAGGTACATAACTCCTTCACTAATCACACACTTATTTGTATGTCATTTTACAGTATATAAAATGAAGTTTTTTTATAAACATAAAAGACAATAGGAAAACTGTAATATTAGCCGACGCGTTTCGTCCAATGTGGACTTTTTCAAGGCAAAAACGAAATGAATTTATTAAAAGAAAGTAACTAACAAAACAAAATGTCCTTAGCAACTGGAAGAATTTAGAAAACGCTATTATATTCAAGTACTGTCACGTGTGGAAACATAACAATAAAAACAATATTTCCACACGTGACAGTATTTGACATAATTTCAGTTGACAATATGAATATAATAGCGTTTTCTAAATTCTTCCAGTTGCTAAGGACATTTTGTTTTGTTAGTTACTTTCTTTTAATAAATTCATTTCGTTTTTTGCCTTGAAAAAGTCCACATTGGATGAAACGCATCGGCTAATATTACAGTTTTCCTGTTGTCTTTTACATTTATAAATATTGTCTTTTTCTACAGGTTTTAACTCTGAGAAAATTTTTCAAAATGAAGATTGTTATAAAACCAATTTTTCGTGTTGTTTCTCTAGTTTGCTTTTCGTTTGCTTACACATTTGTAAAGTAAAAAAAAAATGTATGGGTTAATTTAGGCCGTCAATACCGCTATAAATTTCTTTTAATAAATTTGCATTTACTTGTCTCAGTTACGCAACCATCCCCCACCATGAGTAGAGAGAAAAAAGAATATAAATATATATTATCTTTTTTTTTTAAATTCAAATCCCTGAATCCAGCTGCCAATATTTTGCCCGCTCAAATCTGAATCGTGTTTATTTTATTTTCTTCTCCCCCTCCCAGTATTAACTCGAAAAAAATTCAGCTGAGCGGTTACTTTGAATTTAAGAAAAACGTTGTTTATATTTAATATAAACATTTTAAATTAAACTCTATGTATTCAAAACTAACAGACGCAGGGGAGATAACCTATAGTAAATTTGTTACGGAGTATTTTCCCTTGAGTCTATATTATAACGCCATAGAGTCAAAAATATATCCAATTGTTTGTTTACACCTTGCAATAACATAATATAATATAAATCCAAAGTTTTCTGAATTTCTTAAATAAAACTTTGTCCGGATTATTCATTTTTAATTTGACTTTTTTTTTCATCTTATTTCTCTCTGCTTCTTTCTACCTAGTAGCAATAAGACGTAATAAAATCATTTGAATTTCTTAGATGAATTATTATTATTATTATTATTATTAATTGTTAACATTCGGATTTCTTAGGTCGTTCTTCTGCAATCATGAATCTTGAATATTGCTTAAAAATAGAATTCAGGAAAATTTAAGATGTCCGATCATTTTTTTTTTTAGATGCCCGACCATTTTTTAGATTTCCGGACATATTTAAGATGTCCGACCATTTTTTTTTAGATACCTGACCATTTTTTGAGATTTCCGGACATATTTAAGATGTCCGGCCATTTTTTTTAGATACCTGACCATTTTTTGAGATTTCCGGACATATTTAAGATGTCCGGCCATTTTTTTTTAGGTGACCGACCATTTTTTAGATTTCCGGACATATTTAAGATGTACAACCATTTTTTTTTAGATGCCCGACCATTTTTTAGATTTCCGACAATATTTAAGATGTCCGACCATTTTTAGTTACCCGACCATTTATTTTTAGATTTCCGGCCATTGCAAAAAAAAAAAAAAAATCAAACATCTGAAAAACGTGAATATCCGCTCTCTACTCTCTGAACTGGAACTGACAGTGATAGACTTGGTTCCTGTGAGTTCTTGAGAATCAGTAACTAACAAGATTTTTAACAGAGTCAAATTATCTGCGGATAGAAGGATAAGTTATTTGCAATGAACCCGTATTATATGACCAAGGCTATTCTCTACCCGATTCTCCTTCTCTCACAGAGAAAAAGCTTTGTGACCTCCCACTATCGCGTCAGGACGTCTCCTGACGCGTGAAAAAACATCCACTCTATAAAACCTACTTCTCCGGGTTAAATCATTGTTGTTGCATTTATAAACCTAATCCCTGTATTATCTCCAAATTTGGCAAAATTGTTTAACCGCTGCCTGACAGAGAAATGATTTCCAAGTTTACTGAAGTTGTCATTTGTTTGACCTGTTCTTTCATGAATGCCGATGAGTGTTCATCAGATTGTCGGAGTTAGCTCCTCCTTAATTCCCTAATTGTCACTAAGGGGTCATTCTCCCTATATTATAAAAACTTCACCAATACAAAGCTCGAGAACCACTTAAGCTAGCGGGTGACTATTTAAATGGTTCTGGTGAATGAGGTGTGTGTTATGAATAAAAGTAGGGACCTACTTACATCAAATTATCTTTAAATTAAATGGCAACAGAAGAATTATACTTGAACGTTTAAAAGATAAACTTAAATATTAATGCAATACTTAAATGCAGCGATCAATTTTGAGTTCTTCTGTAGTTTATTGTTGCCTGTCGCATACGTCAGCTGTGTGCATCTCAAATAGAAATCTCCGCCAACAGAGGACCAGATTGCAATCAAAAGAGCCAAGGCTGCAGCAAGAAAAAGAAAGTAGTAATAGTCCCTTGAAGAGAGCCAAAGATTTTAATGTTCAGCTCTCTTCAAGGGCCTATTACTACTTATCGCGTCCTGGGTATGACGATAAACTAAATCCGCGTCCTGGGTAAGACGATAAACTACGTCCAACAACAAGGCCTCTGATCAAGAGAGTTTGAGGATCGTGGAACCACCTCTTAATTGCTGGTGTTCCCAGGTCCACCCTGACCCGGAGTGGTAGCACCTGTCAGGGTCCCAGCTATGGGCAAATAGTTAACCCCGAAACTGAGATAAAAAGCATTATGAAAGTGTAAAAATAGGTTTTAATACCAGAAATACTTTATAAAAATTATTACCAGAAATAAATTTTTGAAGAAAAAAAAAAAACTATTATCAGCAATATATTTTTGAAAAAAAAAATAGCTGCAATGCGTTTTTGAAAAAAAAAATTACCAGTATTACATATTTTGAAATAATATTACCAGCAGTACTGTTTTGAGGTAAATGTATTACCAGAAATGGATTTTTGAGAAAAAAAAATATTACCAGGAAAAAAAAAATTGTCGACATTAAATGACCCATTGAGGTTGATATACCGTAAAACACAACAAACAAAACCAATCACTATTTATTCTCGTAAAATTCACTTACTACTACCTCCACTTTTATTCATAACACACACCTCATTCACCAGAACCATTTAAATAGTCACCCTCTAGCTTAAGTGGCTCTCGAGCCACTTAAGCTATCTATCTATCTATCTATCTATCTATCTATCTCAATCTGTTAACATCTTTCTCTCTCTCTATCTGTCCGTGTGTATCTCAATCTGTTCATATCTATCTATCTATCTATCTATCTATCTGCCATATATGACAAGAGTACTCCATTTTCGACCTGATCTGTCTCTTGTAAAGGTAGAGGATAGCAGGAGGTATCAAGTGCTTGCTGGTGCGG